ATTACCATTACCAATCTCCGTGACATTTTTATACAATATCCTTTTATAGTCCGATATTATTGCTTCTTAAATTGTAGATTTCATACTTTTTTTTGGTTTTGTTTTTTTGTTTGTTTGTGTTTTTTGTAGTATATTGCAGTTTTTCATTTTTTATAGTATAGTTTTAACAGGTGAAGAGCCACTAGACGGATACACTGTTAATAAACCATTATTATTATTATTATTACGTCGGAATTCGCTGAATAAACGAGTTTCGTTCTCGTGAGAAAAGCTATGCACGACTGATATTGATTACGATGCAAGTTGTTTTCCATGGCGTAGTCTCTATTTATAGCTGCCTGAAATTGTAGCAAATCATCAAGCCAAAAAAATCTGGACTTGACACCGTACGACCGACCGCACAAGGTGCTACATTTAGCATGCGCAGCCAACTGTAATACGGGCACTATCTTAGCCATTACGTAATGGAAGGGCGAGGGAGAAGATAAAGCGCAGGCGCGATAGCGTGCGTAACTTGGATACCCCATTAGTGTGCGCCAGGAGACACTAGCAGATGACAATGAAGTACGCATACTCGAGTGTCGAGCTTCAGTGCAGCGCACCGCAGGTACACGGTTAAGCAAAGCAACAATACCCACAGAGCTAAAGTTTTGTCAGCGGGAGGAAATTGTCGTAATTCAAGTTCGTGGAGAGAGAGTTTTGAGTGAAAATAGGTTGTGTAAAAAGAGACAGAGCGATCAAAAAAAAAACACACACAAAAAAAAAGAAGTAAAAGGCGTAAGGCGAGTCGAGAAAAACGCGCAAGAAAGTTAGAGGACACCAAAATATGCAGAACGCGAAAGAGAACAAGAAAAGACACAAGTAAAAAGGCGAATATCTAGCGAAGAGCAACGCGAGAAGGACATTCAAAGACGCGCCTGAAAACAGACTGAAAAGAGGTCATCAATAAACAGAAGCGAACCACAAAGGATCCGAGAAAGAATAGAAGATGAGTCGTGTCTTATCTGGGTTTTCTCTTACGCTAAGGCCCAAAAAATTCAAACCTTTTTTACCAATCGTCGTTTGATACTAGCTTCAGTTACAATTAAAATCACGTTCTTGTAAAACAATAGCTTTGGCATTCATCCCCTAAAAACCCTCGCGCTGGTTCATCGCTCGAATATCATTTCAAAGTGTTCGTTTTCTTCAAGGCATCTCTTGTCCTGTCATTTGGAATATTAAATAAAGTCGTGGTGTTAGGGGAAAAGAAGTTGTCTTGCAAAGTTTGTTTTGCCTAGAAAGTTTTCAAATGATAGCGAACAGTGTGAGCGAGTTTCTACCTCTTCCTCTACTCAGTTAACTACCGCAGGATTTACTCTTAAAGAATGAAGAACGCAGCGAGTGCATTGTTGAGAGAAGTGCGGAGAAGCACGAGCCGAAAGTGCCATACGTAAAAAAAATTCTTAAAAAATGTATCGTGAACTGCGTGCGCTCGTACCGATGACGTTGGCTGCGTGCATCATATCTCAACACTGCACTCGTGTGACTTAAGGCGCGTGCTTTATGGAAATATAATGAACTCGTTCTGACCAATCGCGGCGCGCACATTTCACTGAACATTTTTATAAATTCATTAAAAAAATCGCACTTTTTCGAAGAAGTGTTGTTTTATCCTAAGAACGAAGTAATGGTCTTTCTCAACATTAAAATTAAAATGAGATTGAGGGCCTCTTCATATGAACCCGGTTGACCGGGCTGGCCCGCTTACCAGAACGAATTTCGCCTTGAGTTCATTCAGCCCGTTTTCCGAGATGAGAAACGGCCGAAGATCCTCGGGACGAGTTCTGGCGCGAAATTAGAGAGACAAAACAAAGATGGCGAAACGCAACCTAGTCATTACTTTTGCGCCTATCATGGCTTTGGCAACCCTTTTAGCTGTATCACTGCAGTTTAACGGGTTGCTAATGATTTGGAAATTTATCAGGCAAAGCAAAACGATGCCATTCGGGCCACCTTGTTGTGTGATGAAACCACGCTGCCACGTCATCGACCATTTGACGCAAACGCTATTGCGAAGAATTCATCCCGGTAACCTGGATGAAGTGTTCATATGGCAAAATTTTCCAGCCAGCTTACCGAGATTCCGGTTGGAAAAACCAAGATCACTGTAACCGAGCTAGGCCGCCCTCTCATATTAAGAACGATAAATCCGTATATGTGGCACAAGTGAAGCACTTTTTAAACTTTCCATACGATGTTAGGAAACTATACTTAATAGACTCTCGATATATTAGCCTGCCATAACTCGTTGATTACTTCATTACTGCACGGTCATATGCTATGAGATAACTTTAAAAGAAAAATGCATTTTTGTTGGTAGAAGTATTGTGAGCACAGTACCACTTAGTGACAAAAATTAATGATTTCCTGTAAGCATGAACGTTTGGAAGAAGTTGTGGTGGTAACTGACCCTTTTTTTGCTAGGATGCATAGGTTCTGATGATTGTAATGTATACATTTTAGCTTTCAAACTTTCAACTTTATATTAGTTGTGACTGTTTACCATATCTATTTCTCTGTACCTTAAGCTCTCAAAAGTTGAGGTGAGTCAATAACCTGACTTCCTTTGTATGGAATTGTGTGATTAAATAATTTTGCTGTGTAAGTTACCACATTGTAACATGTCATATTATTATTTAGATTGCATTAAATACTCTCTCAAGCTTTCATTACCAATGCTCAGACCCAAACTAAACATTGATATAAGGAATTGGTCACAAGATATGTGAGTTTTAAAGGGTGGGAATCTGGAAAAGCAAAACAATCCTCCTTTAGTTGGGATTGAAGATCTGAGGTTATTTACATAGTTTTTTATCAGTTAGTGACGTAATTACTTTATTCATTTAGCTATTCATGTGGATAATTTTTACATAGTTTTTTATCAATTAGTGATGTAATTAATTTATTCATTTATCTATTTAATTTTCTTTTTAATATTGATGCTGAAAAGCCCTTTTTAGGGATGCTCAATAAAGTGTATGTATATGTATGTATGTATTGAAATTGATGAAGGCCCACCTATTTTAATTCATGTTTTTACTTTGACCTGCCTCTTTTCCTGTAATGTTTAGGGCACATAGATGTAGAGAACGTTTTTTGTATTTTGGCGCATGAAAGTTTAATTAATTGGCGTACTCCACGTAATGCACAAAGCAAGAATATAAATGCTTAAACTTTAAAGGTTAGAAAATTAAAATTAAAATAAGAGAGTTGTGCAGACCATATCTTACTTTTTTCCCTCCTATGGATATTTATCTAAATAATATAGTCGCTATCAGTCTCATTCAGTCTCACTTTCCACTGAGCTTGTGGAAGGATGATAACCTCAGTATTTCTTAAATGAGGAAAGGAAAGCCTGCCTTCTTACCACACCTTAAAAATTAGCCCGTTGTGAAAATTTCTTGAACCTGTCGTCGTAGGAATGTTTGACTCAATTTTACCTCACTAACCAACATGTAAACTGAATAAATAGAAACTTGAGATTTATTTGTTCTCCTTTTAAGTGTGCATTAAAATTTCGAAGTCATTGCAGGCTTGAACTACAGGTTTAGAGGAAATCTGCATGTGCATGTGTTTTCAACATATAAAACCAGGACTATGACTACTTTGAATGACTTTACTACATGCCGTACAGGGCAGGCAGGTGTTGTAAAAAAGTTTTCTTAGCTTTTTCTTTAGTATACATTTATTTTTCTAAGAATCTTGTTTATCCGGCCTATGCTGAGTTCTAATTTTTCAACCAAATTTTCTTTTCCTTTGAAGATTAAATCTCTTAGTATCAGTTAATATTCATGTAAATAAAATAATTACTGGAAATCTTGCAGATGTATAGCACATTATTTTTTCGTCTGATCCTCCTCACATTTTATTATGTGTAGGGATTCGTATTGGCTATAATATTAAAGTCAAATTAAAGTTTTATGCACAGCATACGCCTCAAATTTATGTAATGAAATATCTTATCCTTCTTAAAACTAGTTCATCAGAATAAGAATGATTTACAAGTATGGCCTCCACGGTGAGAGCTTCCAGGTTTGAAAAAAGTCATTAATTGCTAAAATCCTCAGTTTCTTTTCCCTGATAGCCCAAACTCATCAAAACATCGCCAAGAGGAGCAATTAGCAAATTAATCCTCAATCCTGTTAGCTTTTCATGGACATCGCATTTCAAACATGGTGTTTATGCCACAAATTTTCCATTTCCCTGACTAATCATTTTTTAATGATGTTTACAAGTTGTGGAAAATGGTTTGGTTGAAATAAGAGTAGCCAAAAGCGGAAAAGTTAAAAAAAAAATAAAGATTCAAACACGAGTTAAAAATTACTTTTCTTTTTAATTTTCTTCACTAAACAGAGGAGGTTGAAAGGTTAGGGAAAATCGGTGGGGCAAGCAGTCATACCTGGCAACTTCAAGAGATGATATAAGAGGAACCCATACGATTCTGGCGTATTGTTTTACTGACTCACTGTGCTCAAGTGTATATACTTCAATCGATCCGTGATGTCGTAACGCGAAGTAGTTGACCGTCGTTTCGTTCAATTTTGGCTTCAATTGACACAACTTGTGTGCCAAAGAGTTCAGAAAAAAACGCAAGGTTTTAATTCATTTTATTGCCCCTCGAAAACAACTCATACGATCAGACACGAAGGTCGTTGTTGCTATTCTTCGATTGAGGGCTTAGAAAGAACCTGAGGTAAGCAAAAATCCGCTTTGACGAAATAGAACTGATTGACAGATGTCCAAGTGATCACTCATTTGGCTGAGAGTGTAATAATCTTAATCACACTTATTAACCTTGGTAACTGAATTCATCACGTACATACCACGGAGGATAGTGGTTTTCCTCGTGCAGAGTAAGTGGTCGAGACTGCATCACACGAACTCAATTTTCACAAAATTGGGAAGAGAAATTGACTTGAAACCCAGGTCATTGCCGTTACACGTCATTGCCGTTAGACAAGATGCAATTCGCTACAGTATTGCTTGTTGCCATCGTTCTTATGATGATAGTAGAGTTATCAGAAACAAGAGGACGCATTACTGGAGGCAGATCTAGGTCCAAAGGGTCCAGCTCAAAATCTAAAATCACCAAGTACACGCCAATCAAAGCCACCTCAGTTCGCTCCCCGGTGATCGTCTCACAGACTCACTATGGTTCGCGTTCAATCACGTTCAAGAAAGTTGTCTTTGCCAACTCGCAGCACCGCCACCCTTTCAGCAGTGCCCCAGTCTATCGGATGGGATATCCAATGTACCGGAGTTATGTCTCCATCCCGAAGAAGAGAGCAGTGAGGGTTACCTATGAGAGAGAAAGGCTGCTGGATGACAATGGAAATTTGTGTTTGGACACATCAGCAGGGAGTCAAACACTGAAGGAAGGAATCGACGACAACTTGGTTGAATTGACAACTACAGTGAAGTACAAAAATGGGGAAACGAAAACACTACACGGAGTCGACAAAACAGTGTCGCTGGAAGACATCAAGGATCAAGACTTTGAAGTTGTAAGCCTTGCCCGTTACAACTTGATTATTGTGACGGGAACAACTTGTACAAAGGTTGAAACGACCATCGAAGGAACGATGGTTATCATGTACGAGACAAATCCGAACGGCTCAAACAAACTGAACATCAACAACATACTACTCTCAGTCGTTATTACGTTGTTAATGTTTATGAATTTACATCTATTTCCTTGTTGAATCAAGAGGACTAATGTTTCGCCGGTATCAATATGTTCAGGCGCGACTCATAGTCATTTGAGCCTGAAAAAGTGATAATGATAGTACTTATCGTCGAAAGAGCAATTTAATTGGCTTTTAGCCCGCTGAAATCTCGAGCTTGGCTTGGAAAGTAAATAACCTCTTTTAAAAATTCCGGTTATTCATGCGACAAATTAACAATTATCAACGACCCTCAACCGAAGATGTTGTAGGATGATAAGTTGTGTCATGATGATTTGCATGTGGCTATGCTAAATTTGCATTTAGCTTGATTTTGCTTCGATTTTAGTAAACACATTAAATTTATTTGATATGAAAACGATTTTATTTCTTAATTGTAGTTCATATGACTCCCTTTTGGCGAAGGAAAGGATTGACTTTTGACCGCGGGAGATAGACTTACATATGCACGATATTCACGTATAGATTACGCCATCGAGTAGAAAGCTTAGGATTTCTTATAATCTAATTAAATTTCGTAGAAAAGGTTGTGGTTATTCATCGTGGTGAATAACAATAAAAGCTAAGTTTTTTTTTTCGTTTGTCTCACGATGTAGTCACGTTTGATGTGGATCGCGACGTTTCGACTGCATACTGCTAGTCTTCTTCAGGCGATGGGTCGACTGGTCATAGAGGGAGCTGTCAAAAAAACAACTGATCATAGCAGAGCATCATGCTTTGTAAGGTCACGCATGACCAGTCGACCTCATCGCCTGAAGAAGCCTAGCAGTATGCAGTCGAAACGTGGCGATTTACTTAAAAAATTTTAAATTAAATTTAAAATTTTTCTAAATTTTTTAGAAAGCGTTGCGTTCGAATTAAAAAGCGATTATTTATAGGCAACAAGAAAACATCACGTGAACTGGAAGGAAAAAAATTGAACGAGATCTGCTATTTGTTGCGATATAAGGCAGTTATGGAGCTCAATCGAATGTTTGACAAGTGATGTTTGGAAACAAGGCGATTTTTAAAGTGACACGACTGGCAAAAGATTCCCCTCGGTAAAATCTACCATGTTTTTTTTGGGTTTTCATCCAATATTTTTTCGAATTTTCGAAAATGCACGCAGTTTTTCATTGGCTATTCAAGAAGTTCGCCAAAACCGCCACATGTTTTTATATTTTCATGCTCCTCCACCCTATCTTAGTCAGTCTGGATAGAAATTCCTGGGAAAGAAGTTGGAATTTTGGCGCTAAGCCCAGATAAAAAGTTGCATATTTCCGGTCATGGCGGTAGCGTCAAAGTAGGTGTCAAAAAAAAATTGCAGTAAAAAAACTGTTAAAAAAACCAAATTTATGTGGTTTGTTCTTATAAAGAGTTGATCTAAATATGCGAAGCAAAACAAAACCCTCAAACTGGAATTTTGTGAGGAAACGAGCTCGGCAACTTGTGCCATTTTTATATTCGGTGTTTTAAAAGCTGGCGTTTGAGCGCCGAAGCGATTTTCGCTCAGGAAAAAGTTATTTTGCTATATTTGCAAAAACCAAGGTGGTTTCGATTACTGTTACACTAAGGTAGATTCTTTGGCAAAGTTTGAAAGAAATCGATTTCCCAACCCGAAACGCACCGGACCGCTTTTAAAGAGACTACGTCTTAATTTCTCCACAAGTTTTGACCGGTTTTGGCAAAGTTTATTTAAAAATCCAAATAATTCAAGTATGCACATTATCATTTGGCTCACTCTTTTTTCTTTTACACACATTGTGTGTCAAAAAGTTCAGAAAACAAACGCAAGTTTCTAATTCATTTTATTGCTCCTCGAAAACAACTTATGCGATCAGACACGATGGCCGTTGTTGTTATTCTTCCCTCGAACTCGAAGCGTTAGAAAGTACCAATAGTAATAGAATAGCTTGACACATGTCATAATTATCAATAGTAATCACTCATTTGGCTGAGACTGCATCACACGCACTCAGTTTTCACAAAGTTAGGCAGAGGACTGACTTGAAACCTAGTTTTAATCGTCGTTGCTGTCAGACAAATGCGATTCGCTACAGTGTTACTTATTACCATCGTGCTTATGGTGATAGTAGAATTATCAGAAACAAGAAGACGTGGTGGTAGTTCAAGAGGCTCAAGATCCAGTCGATCGAGATCTAGTTCTGGAGGGTCCAGCTCAAAACCTAAAATCATCCAGTACACACCAATCAAAGCCACCTCAGTTCGCTCTCCGGTGATTGTCAAACAAACTAAACTGGGTTCGCGTTCAAGCACGTTCAAGAGAGTTGGAAGGAAGGAATCGACGACTACTTGGTTGACTTGACAACTACAGTGAAATAAAAAAATGGATAAACGAAAATACTACACGGTATCGACAAAACAGTGTCGTTGGAAGACATCAAGGATCAAGACTTTGAAGTTGTAAGTCTCGCCAGTTACAACATGATTATTGTGACGGGAACAACTTGTACACGAGTCGAGAACACCGTCCAAGGTACGATGGTTACCATGTATGAGACAAATCCGAACGGCTCAAACAGACTGAACATCAACAACACGCTTCTCTCAGTCGTTATTATGTTGTTGGTGTTTATGAATCAACATGTATTTCGTTATTGAATCAAGAGGGCTTATGTTTCGCTAGTATCAATATTTTCTGTTATTATGATAGTAGTTAACGTCAAAATAGCACTTTATTTGGTTTATATACTGCTGTAATCTTGAGCTTAGCTTGGAAAGTCCGTAACCGCTTTTTACACTCACAAGTATTCATGCGAAAAAATATTAATTACTAATGACCCTCCACCAAAAATGTTCTTTAATTATAGGTTGTACCAAGATGATTTCCTTGTTGCTATGCTAAATTTGGCTTGTTTTTGCTTCGATTTGAGTAATCACCTTAAAAGTTACATGTCATGAAAACGATCTCACATTTGTCGTTCCTTTTTTGCGTAGAAAAGGATTTACTTCTGACCGCGGGAGATAGACCTACATACGCATGATTGTTATGAATTACGCCATCGAGTACAAAGAGATGATCCATGTTTCAACGAAGCTTAAAGATTTTCAAATTTTTTAAAAAAAGTTGCGTTTGCATTAAAAAGCAAATATTCATAGGCAACAAGAAAACATCACATGAACTGGGAGGAAAAATATTGAACGAGATCTCATGGCAGTTATGGAGCTCAAGCAAATGTTTGAAGTGTGATATTCTGAACAGAAAGCACCCGGAAGAAAAAAATGTCAAGCTTGTGAACATGCCACAGTTTGTTACCTAAAACCTTACATCAGCATATGATTTTTCTGAAATTTTAAGGTATATCTGTTTTCCATGTTAAGAAACAAGGCGATTTTTAAAATAACACGATAGGCAAAAGATTCCTCTCAATACTCATTAGCACGCTTCTTAATTAGATTTCTGCTGTGTACTTTCGTCCACGCAAGTCAATGTGCGTTGAAGAACAATTTTACAAAGAAATCTTGAAACAATATTACGCACGTCTGCAATCGCAAGAATACAGAGAAAAGTTAAAACATATTGATTTAACGCGGCAGTGGAAATTGCTGACGCGCTTTACGCACGTTCAACGTACGGAAAAACTCACGCGACATAGCAAATCCACCTTTATTAGTGAGGGAGGAGGAAAAAGACGAATATTCCTCAGTACGTAGTGAATGTAATATCATACACTACGCACTGTCGCGAAGTGAGGAGGGAAATTTGTGGAACTGTATATTTGTGAAATTATTTGCGCGAGGCTACTTGCGATTACTTCTTAAAGATATCTAGGCTAAGCTTCATGGAGAGTTCCGAAGCGCGGATTATGCTCGATGCTCATCCACGAAGCCTGCTTATTATCGAAATAGGCGACAATCGACTGGTCGGAGGCTTGTCGATAGATCCGTGGAACTGTGGCCCTGTCGTCTTCAACTTTGTCCGACGTTTTATAAATGCACTTCTTGGACAACAGAACCGGGAATTTCTTCTCACTGGTTACAAATATTACAGCCAGCAAGCAGGTGCTCGTCATTAGGGCCCAGCTGATAGATCTTAATAGGAAGAAAAAAGTGTTGTAATTTTAAATTGATCTATATAAAAGAAAGTCTTATTTTACTAGCTGCTGTAAACTAAAAATATTCGTGATAACTGTTATATAAGTACTGAGATTTACTCAGTGCAAACTCACTGAATAAAATCGTCTTTCATTGATGAGGAAAAATCCCATTGGTCATACGATTTTTCTAACTTGTGAAAAATACCATATGATCAATCAGAAGCCTGATACGCGATTTTATTCACAAAAGAGGAAAAATGGTATCGGTTTTTCCAGCCTTTCAGGGCGGCCATGCGAAGTAATTGAGAGTAGATGTTTGGAATGTTCCCTACTTGCCTGAAAACCAGTTAGTAAAAATGTGCCACAGTTTGTGTGAACTAAGTACAGGGAGAGCGCATGATGGAGAGAAACCGAATTTATCTCAAGTATCTGAAGGTTTTTCGACCACAGTTCATTAAGCAGGTTCGGCCGCAGATTATCAACATGGCCAGCCAGCAATGTCGCTTTTTACAGGCGCTGTTATTCAAGGTGGTCAACTGGACATCTCTATCAACAGCCTTAATCAATCACCGACCTTGGCCACTCCAGAAACTGACAGAGAGATAAAATCCACAAAAATGTGCAAAAGCCTAAAACTACTCGACTCCGATTCGTAGTAAAAAACGCTTTGCTAGTTTGTTGAAAGATTATAGGAGCTAGTATTTTCAGAAACTCTTCAATTGTCAAACTTAAGCCTAAATCTCGTTGAACGGGCTTTGTAATGTATTATTATTTCCAGAATCCGCCGAACGAGTACTAGCTCTGGAGGGTCTAACCGAAAACCTAAAATTACCAAGTACACACCGATCAAAGCCACCTCAGCTAGCTCTCCGGTGATCGTTTCACAAACTAAACTGGGTTCGCGTTCAAGCACTTTGAAGAAAGCTGTTGTAGCCCATGCAGTGCACCGTTACTCGATCATCAGCGCCCCAGTGTATTGACAGGGATATCCAATGTACCGGAGTTATATTTCCATCCCTGGTAACAGAGCTGTGAGGGTGACATATGAAGACGAAACGGACTTCTAGATGACGAAGGAAAGCTGTGTTTGAATGCATCAGCAGGGAATAATACTCTCAAGGAAGGGATCGACGACAACTTGGTGAAATTGAACACTACAGTGAAGTATAAAGATGACGCAACAAAAACAGTATATGGAAGTAACAACACTATGTCGCTAAAAGACATAAACGGCCAAAATTTCACGGTTATTGGCCTCGCTCGGTACAACACTACGATCGTATTAGAAATAACTTTTCAGCAGGTCGAGAGGATCATTGAGGGTACGATGGTAACATTGTACGAGACGAACCCAAACGCCTCGATCGAGCTGAATGGACCCAACGATTTCTCAAGCGACTCGGATACGACTGACGAAGGTTCTTTCAACTGGGACACAGATAACAAAAGCTCGAACTTGTAAGGCATCAATAACAAACTACTCTCGGTTTTGATGACGTCTGTGCTACTCGTTATAACATATTTGGTTTCTCGTAGTTAGCGTCGCACGAGTTTGTAGCATGTTGTATTCGAGTTATGATGGGTGAAAGTCAATTTGGAATTCTCGCTTGTTCACTTGTGATATCTTATCCATGCTAGAATATAATGTTGAATTCTATTTCAAATGGATCGAACAAAAATATTACGAAAAATATGAAAAATATTCTGTGGGAATAAGTCTATAAATCATTTATAATTTATCGGTTCAGCACGCTTTTTTTTGTAACACGGCAATGTTTTGAATGTAGTATGTGATTTAAATTCAAATGTGATATCTCGAATTTACATTTCATTTGTTTTGCTGCGATTATGTAACTCCGTAAGCATTCATTTACACCGTATATGTAGATTGCCCTATTTTGTAACTATCATTTATGTGGGATAGAGGCAGAGTGGTCGAGTGGTTAGCACACTGTACTGGTAATCTGGTAGTCCCGGATTTAAGCCCTTCACCCTGCCTCTTACTGGGTTTGTTCTCGGTTGCCCCGAGTTCAATTCCTTGACCTCCGTGACTGCACCTTGTGCACAACCACCTGGTTTGCTTCCGACCAGTTGGAATTTTAAAACTCTTTGTGTATTTACAATGTTCAATTTGTTTGTAGTGGCCCTAAAAAGCCCCATTGGCGGAGTGGAAGATAATGTTATTACTATCATTGTCATTGTATCATTCCTTTTAAATTTGGTCAATAAAGAATTAACTTGAATCACGATCTGCTGGCATCAAAACAAAACAAAACAAAAAAGAAACAAGTACCACTGATATCAATGACGTTTAAGGTGTTTTTTCCGTTTGCCCATTTATCACAATTTTACCGATAAACGTTGCGTCAGAGGCCATCACCGCTAAAAATCCTTGACACTATATTTTTTGAGTTGGTATCATATGAGTCGTCGTGCCAAAATTCTGGGCAATCTGTTAAGTTTTCATATCCTTACAATTCTATTAAAAAACATACACACGTTAAAACGAAGAAGGTTTTATCCGATGTGAAACTTGTGCCAAACATTTCACGCTATGGGTGACCACAGGCGGTGTGCACACTCTGATTGCGTTGCTCATGGTCGTAAAACGAAAAGTGAGTCATTTGCATCCTGTCGAGTGAACATCTCTGGTGGCAGCAAGATAGCGTGAATAAACGTGGAATGTAACGAGGATTCACTGCCGCAGTTCCTTCCAAAGTTAGAAAGTGTTCGCAGGCCTGCGCGACTCTTGTTATTCCCCCGTGACAAATTCGTTGTTAGGAGGCAATTGAAGAGATTCAGAAAGAATCGAAACTGCAGCCTTACCCAAGAATCTATTCATTTGGCAGCAGTCAGACTCACAGTCGATGGCTGTGTGAATAATATCAAATTCGCGAGTTATTTAACAGGGAATCGATCCTTGACATGCAAACGTATTACAAAGAGACAGCGACCTTCCAATCACACCATAGTCTCCTCTACTAAATATGAATACACGAACTATTTTCCATATCATGCACTTAAAGGCATGAATACGGGATTCGCGAAAGGAGAAGCCAAAATTCGCCACGCTTAACGTTGAATTAAAAAACGTACAGATTTTCAAATATGCTTAAAAGAATAGAGAATACTCAGAATAAGGTTTTGAAAACAGTATCTGTGGAGTTATCTTCTGCGGTAGAGACAATATGTACTTGAAAACAGAGAAAATAGCGCGCACACATGAAGATATTACCTTTTGTAATACAATCTCACCCGGCTTTGCCAAACCTCTAAAGCATACAGACAGGGAAATGACAGGAAGCTAACTCTTATTATCACATCGCAAAGGAAAGTCATTAAAAGATATATCTTAAAAACAGCTAAGTTCTCGGGTCAGAAGATTTAAAAGCGTAAGCGAATGGCAGGAGTCGCACAAGCCTATCAACACCTTTTAACAATCGACTGCCTTTTGCTTTCCGGCTTACCCGGCGTGTCGCCGTGTGCAATGTAGGGTTATTCAGTGGTGAAGTGACTCCTTTCATTATCCTAATTCAACTGTCCTTCATTCAATGATCCAGAAAGTAGATTTACCATACAACACTCGCGTTTAGCTAATTTGCTTTTACTTAGGAAAGTAGATTTACAACACAATTGAGTATACAATAGTAGCGCTGTGTAACGCAACAATAGGCCTTTTCTCGGTCACAATCGAGCACTTAAAATGCGAGAAGCACATGTACCGTTGGAGAGCGTTGGAGAGCGTTTGGGAGCGTTTGGGAGCGTTTGATCAGCGCTGTTGAAGATGGACCAAAGCAGCCATCCGAATCTTTGAAAGGCTCCAAACTACGACGTACATCAAATTTGAGCTTCTCGAATTGGTCTCAGATTACATACTAAAAAAACAGTGATTGCGTTTGTCCTTGAGAACAATAGAATACGCGACAAATACGCACAAAAATATTTTTAAACATTCACGATAAATAAAATTATATTTTCCAATGGTTAAAGGAAAAAGGAAAGGCCTAACTTCTACGGAATGTTCTGTCTAAAGCGGTTGGAGCTCGTCATAGCAGAACTTGACGACGACTATCGGACGAGTGTGAGCATCGAAAATTGCTTCAGCAACGTACCCTTGTCCTTTTCCGCGGTCTTTTACGCCATTACTCACCAAATTAGTTTTTGTTTTTATTCATACAATCAGTTTTTATTAGCTTTTACCGAAGGAATCCTTTCTTCTCTATCTTACCCCATTATTTACAGGATAATTTAATACTCAGACTAGTGGCAGAGATCACCGCGTACAACTTAAATCAGGAGATGTTAACGCGATTGACATTCATGAACCCGGAATTTTTGTCGCAAAGCTTCGAGAGTCCTTTTGGCTGTCAAGTTAACTATTCGCACTTTGGACAGCATGCGAGCCGTGGTAAGAAATTATATATTGCGCTATTAGATATATTCCCGGCGAGACGGATCTCCTCAGTAGCTCTGCGATAGCAGAGAAGTTAAAGGCCTTTATCATACCAGTACGTTTTTCAAAGTGTTCGTTTTCGTCTTAACGAAAACGGAGCAATATATTTTCATCCAAAAAAGGTTTTTCTAATCTTGTCTTCATCTTTTAGTTTCAGCTGCTCACTCAAGGAACGAAGCTTTTTTAAAAGGGATTCATCTCTGAAAGACTTTACTATTAAAACTGCTTTCGAGGGTTTACCTGCTCATCATGGCGTGTTCGAATTTTTAGCGCGGATGATGGGCAAAAACACTTCCAAATGTTTGCGTATTCAAACGAAAATGGAGTTTATTACACCCAAACCAATCTTTTAAAGAACAAGGCATGTTCTTTAAAAGCCTTAGCCGGTTAAGTCAGCACACAAGCCTTGTGGCTTACACTGCCGCACTTCTAATCCCTGATTCCCTTTTTTATGGCGGAAGGCGACTTAGGATTGTTTTGCCACTAGTAGCTAGTCCATCTGTGTAGAGAGATCTCACTAAGTTAATCGCACAAAGCGTTTATTGGCGGAAACCTTTTCTCCAATAAGTTTTGATTTCAAACGCCGGTTTCTTGACTGTGAAGAAATTGGCAAGAAATTATATGCCGTTCAAAAACCGCAAAATACCTCAACGTTAGGATGACCTTACCCATAAAGAGTCTCAAGCAAAATGAAAAGGGGAACTTTCTGAGGATTTATACACATTGACATCATAATGAATTGACTATTCTAATATTGACACGGTGGTGTTTTTGTGGTTGCTTATCAAGATCTATTAGACATCTTCGTGATCGATTTCTTATAACCACGATATTGCATGTGTACGTAGGTAGCAGTATTAAGGTGAATTTCATATCAGAAAACTTCCTAAACACAAGAAAACTTGATAATTCCTCAAAAAATTTTCGACAATAGATTAAGTTGTGGTTTATCTGGTGTTCCATTTATTAAGGCCAAGAAATTTAATTTAAGAGTGCGCGTGGCTCTTTTTGATTGATGGCGTGTCTCCTTCCTGTTTCCGTTACTAATACCTTTCAGCCTCTTGGCCTTGTTTCCATTCGCTTTATCACGCTCGCTCAACATGACTCGCCAAAAATTAATCTAACAATTGATACGAAATGAGTATGAAATGATGATGACCTCAATAACATTGCCAGGAGTTTTTCTAATCCTACTATGATTGTTATATAATTTTCAAGACGCTCAAAGAATTGTAAATGGGCTTAAAAGTGCTAATCGAATGACGGTTTCATGTTTGACAGAAGCTCCCTGATTTCAGCTCGGTATCTTGGAAATTCCCGCTTTAACGTAAGGCCCTCTCTTTAGAGGTGCACGTTTCTGTCATTTGTAATAAGCTAGCTCAAACACTATCCCCGTATGTTTGATCTACAAATTTTGTTTTTTATTTCCCTGCAGCATTTCGAGATATATAACGAAGTTCTGTTGCGTCAGGTTTGTTTAGTGAACAATCGAACTAAATGATTCAAAAGTTACAAATGACAAACCTG